GAACGGTTTTCTACTCGGCAGGAGTGCATCTCTGAGAGCACTCGTCAACAACTCGGTATAAGGGAACTGTGGGACGGCGTTTCAAACTCTTTACGTACATCCGCAACCGAAACCATTGGATTTCGGAAAGTACAAAAGAACAGCTGGTACGACGAGGAGTGCCGTGTCGCAGCGGAGAGAAAACAGGCTGCCTACCCTGCAACGTTACGATCGACTACAAGACGTGCGGGATGGGATAGATACCGAGAGTTGAAGAGGGACGCGAGACGCATTTGCAGACAGAAAAAGAAAGAGGCCGAAATGCGTGAGTACGAAGAGCTGGATAAGCTGGCCGATAGGGGTAATGCTCGAAAATTCTACGAAAAAATGTGGCGGCTTAGAGAAGGTTTCAAGACCGGAGCATACTCTTGTAGAACCCCCAAAGGTGATCTAGTCATACTTAAATTATGGAGGAAACACTTCTCCAGCCTGCTGAATCGCAGTGAACGCACAACGCCAGGAGAAGGCGAATCCGATTCCCCAATCGATTACGATGGAGCAGACCTTCCTTTACCAGGAAGAAGTTCGAAAAGGAATTACCTGCCTGAAGAACAACAAAGCGGCGGAGTCTGATGGATTACCGGCCGAGCTATTCAAACACGGCGGCGAAGAACTGACAAAGAGYATGCATCAGCTTCTTTGTAAAATATGGTCGGACGAAGGCATGCCCAACGATTGGAATTTAAGTGTGCTTTGCCCAATTCTTAAAAAAGGAGACCTCACAATTTGCGCCAACTACCGTGGGATAAGCTTCCTTAACATTGCATATAAGGTTATATTGTGTGAATGATTACAGCCCACCGTCAACAAACTGGTTGGACCTTATCAGTGTAGCTTCAGACCTGGAAAATCAAGAACGGACCAGATATTCACCATGCACCAAATCTTGGAAAAGATCCGTGAAAGGACAGTCGACGCACACAACCTCTTCGGAGATTTCAAAGTTTCTTTTGACAGCACGAAAAGGAGATGCCTTTATGACGTGATGTCTGAATTTGGTATCCCCGCAAAACTAATACGGCTGTGTAAACTGACGTTGAGCGGCACCACAAGCTCCGTCAGGATCGGGAAGGACCTCCCCGATCCGTTCTTTACAAACCGAGGTTTCACACAAGACGACTCCCTATCATGCGTCTTCTTCAAAATGCTTCTGGAGAAAATAGTTCCAGCTGCAGAACTTAATCGAGCAGGTACAATCTTTTTGATATTGATATCATCGGCMTCAACACCCGCACCAACACGCGTATGCTGTCTCTGCCAATTTACTGCTTAGTCTAAAGCAAGAAGAAGCCGATGTCGTTCTAATCCAGGGACTGTGGCTGGTCAATAATGATATCTCTGGATTGAGGACAAATAGTCATAAGCTGCTGGCTTTACCCAACTTCAGCAACGCCGATATAGTGACGGCAAAACTGTTGTGCCACGCACAATATTTATGGTTAGTTTGCGTTCCAAAGGACAAATCAAGACTTTTTGAATCTAACGCCCCTTGGTGGCGCCATCTA